CCCCCCCCCCCCCCCCCCCGCTTCACCAACAGGCCGGTAACTTGCACCTTACCGTGTCCATTTAAATTAGCATCGTAGCGTAGCTGGCACACAAACACATTTTATCACTTCTCTGAGGTGACGTCTTTTCATTTTGACTTAGAGGATCCGTGCGGTTTGCTTTTAAGGAAACAGTTTCTCTTCAAAGGAAAGTTTTAGCCAGGTGTGTTTTTCTAGAATAATTTCCTTTTAACTTATTATGCATTACTACTCACTGTATTTTAATGATTAATCAGTAAAAAAAACTTCCAGATGCTGGTGAAATGTTAAGGAAACCAACTTTTCCAAGTTATTCCAGAATAATATATATATATATATATATAAAATTTTAACTTATTTAAAAAAATAATGGGTGGCCTGTCCATGAAGTCTTTCTGTAACTTGGCGGGGGAATAAAGAAGCATTGCCCTTGTTTTTCCAAGGAAGGTAACCAGGGACGACACAGAGAATGTAACGGTAACGATTATGCCTTCAGGAAAGAACATGCACAGCTGAACTGAAGCAAAAGCACAGATTCCACATCACCAGGGCGATCAGGCCTGATGTCTCCACTGCCACCCGCATCCTCCTCGTCTTCGTCAATTCCACTCACAGGAGAAAAGTCCGGAAAGAAATTCTGAGCAGAAAGGGGACAGTCAATATAAACACAGCAGGGGACTATTTTCTGCATAACTGCATAGGTAGGTATTTATGCAAGGACAATTCAGGTAAAAGTTCTTTTAAATTTGTGTGAAACTAAGTTTTAATCATAATTAAAATATTACTAATCACCATAGTTACTACATGCTAATTGTTAATCGCATTGTCTCTTCCACTGATTTATTATTTTAGTCTATTGCGGGTTGCTTTGTTTTACACAATCTCGGAGCAGGCAAACTTTTTATTTCACTGCACGTTGTACCTGTAGAACTGTGTGTGTGACGAATAAAGTCTTGAACTTCAAAAAAATGTTTACAAATATTTTAGAAAAAAACATAATGACATATGTGTAAATTACACTAACGACATCACTGCGGAATTTTGTTTAAGTGGGTTAACACTTGCCTAAAAGCAAATCTATGGTCTGGATTGTGTTCGGGCTGAGGTTCTTCTCCTCCCTGATGCTCCAATGACTCTGCGGCCCTGGGTCCTGCTCTGTAGACTCGAGGGGAAGGTCACCACCTGGGCAGACCCTCTGCTGACCTGCATTCCCGCCACCTGCCTCATGTCTCGGGCCATCTGAGACAGAGTTTGAGCGGGGTTGGTCTGCAAGCGTTGGAAGAGACTCTCCCGTGTCACTGTTCTCTCGGGACAACTGAAAGTCAGAGCCACCCCAGAATCAGATTTCATCTCCCTCGAGAAGCCGTCGGAGGTGCCGTCGAAGCAGCGGCCGATTGCTATCTCCTTGGCTACCCGGGGATTTTGGTCTGTGACGGTGTAGATGCCGTAGTTGTGCCCCAGTGGGTCAACAGGGGCAAGCATGGTGAAGGTGTGGGTCTCGTTGTTCTGCAGTACTGGAGGATGCTTGGTAAGGTACTCCTGTAGGAGGTTGTTGATGCCAACTCGTCTGCAGTTACCCTGGGGCATGACGGTGATGAGTGACCTGTCCACGATGTCTTGGTCATAGAGCATCCCACTGCACTTAAACTCCAGGCAGGCAGAAGAGGTGTTGGGTATGTTCATGTCCCTGGTGCTGCGGATGTCTCTGATGCCATAGAGCTGCCCCTTCGTCTGAGGGTGGCTGCCTCCAAAATTTCGTGACCTCACCATGACCTCCGTGGGTCCGTTGATCTTGACCTTGATGTAGCAAGCGCGGAACTCCTGAGGGTTCGGCCACCAAGAGAGGTAGTCACCGGTCCAGGTGGTGAGGTCGCTCTCCTGGAAGGGCACCACGTTGTACTCATACTTGTCCTTCTCCACACGGAAGAATCGGAAGTGGTTTGCATCGACTGGCGCATTTTCGCAAGCTATTAAACTCTGATAGGGGTATATTGGTCCATTGGTTTCTTCCACGTTGTTGGGATTAGGCTTAGCTAAGTTAATTCTGAAGGCAGTTTTCTTGAGAGCTGGATCCTCATGGTCTGAGCGCTGGTAATCTATCTTGTCGAGGTATGGTTGAGAAACTCCAATAATATTGGGATTCATTTTTGGTGATGATGGCGCTGCCTCCAGCTCCTCACCACCCATTAAGGCTGTCACATAAGCTGTATAGGCATCAATCCGTAATGCATCACAGAAGGCAGGTAGGCAGGCTCCATTGGGTCCGGTTATGACACTATCAAAGCGACCCCAAGCACGAGGGTTGGATGTGTAGCCAGGCTTGGGCTCCAGGTTGATGAGGTTGATGACCACCCCTTCCAGCTGCTCAGTGGGCAGGAACTTGTCGCTCATGTATGCTCGCACTTTGACATAGCATCGACGGTCCTCAGGCACATCCAGGTTAAATAGGCGCCGTTCCCTGATTTCCATGTTTCCGATGAGGAAAGTGCGCTCTTCCCGCTTGCTCCTCCCATTTCCACCACTGACAATTCGAGAGTAGTTAAAGTCACTTTCTTCTTCCCAGATCCCTGTATCTGGGTTGAGAGACCACAGTTTCATCTTGGTGATGTGCTCTGGCATTTTCACATGCTCTGTGTCCAGAAGCACTTGTACCGCCCCGCTGCCGAGAACCTCCTGGTTAGTCTCATCTCGGAAATCCACAGAAAACATTCCATAGGTCCTCAGAGGAAGCATATCTCCTTCACCGTCGACGAAGTTAAGGTCTCCAGGAGTGGCAGGAGCAGTAGTGATGTTTCTTGGGTCGATAAACGTCACACTAGCCTTTACAGTACCCTCATAAACCTCCCCGCTGTTTTTGTGAAAAGAGTTTGGAGGAATCACTATCTGACCAATAGGGTCCTCACCATCAATCTCACCAAGGTAGATCGTATTTGTTTCCTTGGAGTTGATATTCACAGGTTCCTTCTTCCGCATCACTTTCACATCATGGTAAACAGTGCCGCCCTTCTTGTCGAAAACAAATACCTTGACCGTATCTATGAACTTCTGTGTTTTATCCACAAAGTTCACCACCAGCCTCTCAGTATCAGGGGATACCTGAAGAGTGAAGGTCCCCTGATACCCAGTGAAGCCCACCCGTTCCTTCCCGATATAGATATGTCCGAAGCGCAAAGGTTCGCCGTTATCCGCCGCCACCACCCGTCCCCGAACCAGCACCTTAGGCTCCGTACACTTCTGGCACCCGCACTCTGTCACAGCACGGATGGGAAGGGTGTAACTGCCGCAGTCGATCTCGCGGGTCTCCATGCGCTTGACTCCGCAGCAGAAGCCGACACCGTCCTTGCAGCGCATGTCGAAATCCAGGGCCCCCGGGCACTTGCTGTGGGGGCAGCGGCCAGCGTTATAGAACTTGGACCTGGTCCCAGGCTGGACGCAGTCCATTGGCAGTTTGATCAAGTGCCTTTCAGGCACAGAAACGCAGGTGGGAGAGTCTTTATCTGCAGGGCAAGAGAAACCAGGAATGGGCTATACAACCGGTACTGTAATTATAGCTGAAAAAGTCACACTTAAGGGAATTTCAGATGCACGTTCATTAAAGCTGGTCCATCAGCAAAACTATTAGACATGCATAACAGACAAACAAATTAAGAAAAGTATTCTGTAATGTCATAGATCTTTAAATATAAAAAAGAAACATTTCAGAGGACAGATTGCATACCACCTGTAATGGGATATTTAACCGCCTGCCACTTCTTTTGTTCTGCATTTAATTAATGTCTTTTTTCCATATTAATTACAGCTATGTTAAGTACTTGTAAGGTAGGCCTACTGTAGAGTAAAATTTGTAGGCATTTAGGTTCGCGTTCCAGCGCCCTGAGACGATGTGAATCTGGTTTTATTCATGAATGGGTTTTTCACGCGGTAATGGCTCTGGGGCAAGCCGGCGCTGCTCGGGAAGCGGGGTGCTGATCGCTTTAGCACACGGTCCGGCCGCGTCGCTCGGTGGATGTACAGCCTGTCTAACAGGCGCCCGGGGAGATCGCAACGCCCGCCGGCCGCCCTTCGCGGATGTGGAAACACACGCTTGTTTGACTAGACCAAAAAAAAAAATCGCCGCTGGATTTATCGGCGATATTGCATTTCATTGCAGCATGCGGTGCTTCGGAGGATTGGGATCCCGGCTTTGGTTTCACCGGGGCTGATCTCTCCATGAATTATCTCTGTTTAGAATAGATTGGTTTCTACCAAAATAAACATATATTTTCACTGCTGGTCATATTACACTGTTCGGAGACTTCTGTTTCTCACCAGGTTATTCCTTAATGTGCATTTCATTAAAACAGACATCCCATCCAGGGTGTCCCCTGCCTGTGCTCCCTTCGTTCCGGGAGAGGCTCCAGGCTCACCGTGACTCTGTACTGGATAAGCAGTTACAGAAGATGGATGGATTAAAACCGACACAATACGCTTAAGGATTGCCATCTTGGTCTTTTTCACGCCCAGTTAGGATTATGGGATTTGTTCAGGAAGAAAGGTATTTATATGCTGGCCTATCTCTGCGGTGTTTCTGCTTGAAACTGCAAAATGAATAACTAATTGAACATGCTTTGGAATACGCCTAGACATCTGTTTATTCCCGGTATACAAATGGTGAAAAAAACAAATTGATGGTGTGTTATTGATTGCAGTCAACGGCTGCACCAAAGGCAGTTTATTCAGTTAGAAGCTGGATTCTCTTTGTATTGTCATAAGACAGTAGTTAAAGCTTCCTAGATCAGTGACGCTTAAGCTGAAAGATGAGCCCAGCTTAGCATGTTACTGTGTTGTGTTCAGCTGTGTTTACTTCACAAATGCATGGCAATGATGCACAGGGGGTGCCTGAAAGATTGAGTATATTTTGCATTTTTCAGTGTTGACTGAACTGGCGGGTTAGTCAGTGCTGTGTGTGGAGTTTGCATGTTCTCCCATGTCGTGCGGGTATCCCCCAGGTACACTAGTTTCCTCTGCCTTTCCATACACTTGCAGGCAGGTGAACTGGCATCTCGGGATCGCCCGTAGTGTGTGATCGTGACAGAGTGGCTTCCTGCAAAGAGTGTACCCTGCTTTTTGTCCCGAGCTTCTTGGGAAAGACTCCAGGCCCTTCCTTGTGGCCCTGTCCTGATAATTGGTTAGGCCTATGTACTAATGGATAGGGTTGCACAGGAGTGGAAAATTTCTGGAAACTTTCCTGAAACTTTCCATTCCATGGGAAGTTAAGCAGGGGAATTTTGAAAATATTCCAAGATGGAAACCTTCCAGGGGATTTAAGGAGAATATATGGGAATTAACGGGAAAATATCCATAATTTTGCAACCCTACTAGTGGATGACCTGATGACTTTAATGATTACATAAGCTGTGATATTGCGAATATTTCAAATGTTTGTATATCTCTTTCTCTTTATGCACAGGTGATACTTGTCCCTCTGTTCCCTAACCCCACTGAGAATGATCTGCATAGCTAGAAACAGACACTACTCCTGAATTTTCTTCATTCTCTGGTAAGTTACCATATTGGGCTGCTTCTAGAAGTCTAGAAGACTCTTACTACATCTCATCCACCCCAGCGGTAAGAGTACCTACCGAAGACAGTGAGGAACGCGGGCGAGGACTTGATGCTGCCCGTGTCGCTGCTGGCCTTGCAGTAATACTGCCCGCTCTGCTTTGGCTTCAGGTCTCTCAGAACCAGGTCCTCCTCATATTTGTATGAAGCTCGGTCCAGCAGCGTCCCATTGTGGTACCTGAACACAGAATAGCCTGCGTGACTAACAGGAGCTGATAGCACGAGTTAACAGTACATTTACATTTAAATTCATTTATTTAACAGTTGTTTTTGTTCAATGAGATGTATAAGTGCACCAGATAATGCACCAGGCATACAGCTATCAAGGAGCCAAGCTAAATGTTTCTAGGCTGAGTTGTAATGAGCAACAAGTGACAAGTAAAAGTTAGCATTGAAACAAGAGTGATACAATACATTAGAAAACAATGGGTAATGCTTTACATTAACTGCACCATAATTGTGCGTTTATAACGCATTCATAGAACATTCATATTCACATGGCATGTCCCTATACCTTAACATCCTAACATGCCTTAACAGCTTTAACAACTGGAAACAAACCAGTCAAAGCACAATATTTAGCCAAGCAGAGGAGCCTTTCAGTATTAAAGTAGTTTGTAAAACCTGAAGTAGCTCAAAGTGTCCTCCCTGACCTGGATTATCTGGTCACCCTCCCAGAAGAGAACAAGTAGTACAAGCGATAAACATTTAAGAAAGCAAAAATATTCTGAATTGGAACTTTTTTCTGACAGTGTAGTAAAGGCATAGCCCCTATTTCATAAATCTCTAGTGATACTCCAACTGCATAGATACCGAGTTTGAAATATGATCAAAATAAAAGCATTGTAGCATCACCAGTAGTATTTATTGGGTGCTGGAATTCCTGTGGCTTTGCAGCAGAACGCCACTCGCTGTCCCTCGTAGCGGACCTTATCCTCGGGGTGCTTCACGACGTACGGCTTCTCTGCGGCGTGCGAGACAGACGAGGTGAGACCTTATAGCATGCTGGCGGCCACTGCGAATGGCACCATTGAGGCACCAATGGTCATAAAACTTAATCATGCATGCAGTTCAAATTACAGCTTTGGTACATTACATAGCATGTTTTATTGTTCTGGGATTATGTTGAAAATACTGGTCTTCTGTTTGCTGTGTTTTTTTAAACTACTCAAGAAACTGAAAAGCACCTTCCAGACTTCCAGTTTAGTAGTTTTATGAGCTGTCCCGTCAGTGTTGACGTTGTGGATGGATTGCTACCCAGGACAGACCCCGTCTTGAAGGGTCATTGCTTATGGAAGTGCCCGGAATCCCAGGTTCTGAACGTAGGTGCGTTCGGGACTCGTCTTGGACCCACCTGAGGATCTTACCACGGCCCTCACCCAGGACCTTCCGGTGCTGTTGCTGGACGAGGGGACGGTGACAGGGGCGAACTTTTCCTTGGTGACCGTGACGAGAGTCCTCTCACCAGAACAGATGCCACGGAGACTGAAGAGCCCTTTGGCGTCGGTGCGGACATGGACGGACTTGGGGACATCAGCCAGGGAGACCAGGGCCCCAGCCACAGGGGCCCCTGTGAGGCTGAGGACCTCCCCGAGCAGCAGGTGGCCCTCGCACACGCAGCGGCTGCAGTCGTTGCTGGGCCGGCCCTCAGGACACACACGGTGACACAGCGCTGCGCACACACACCCGCACGCGTTACACCTGCTCATCCTGCATACCCTCCACTAGAGGGAGCGAGACACATCCATGATGTTCTTAACATCCTAGGTCTCACCTGGGCACTGGATCCTAGCACACTTCTGGACCTCAGCCGGGTGTCCCGTGCATTGACCTTTGTTGGACGACACGCAGGTCCTCCTTCTGACCCTACGGCCCCCGCCACAGGTGACCGAGCAGGCCGTCCATGGTCCCCAGGCACTCCAGTTGGCTTCAGGGTCAACAGAGATGAGAGGAATCAGAATCGAGTTCACGCACGGTGTCTGCTGGGAGTCTCCGGGGAATCCGCACTCAGAGCTCCAAACCCATATGAAAGACACATCACTGGACACACTCTGACCTTGCAGCCTCATTGGCTATGATACTATTCAACTGCAATATGGTTTTCAGTTCCATAACTGTGTCCTTCTCTGGTCCCGTTCATTAACAGGTGTGCTCGAGCTGCTGGATCATAGAGGACCGACAGCATGAATTACATTGGAGTACATCGCACCCACGTGGCTGTGACGCCCCCCCAGAGACACCTGCTGTAGCCACACCGGTGCTGCTGGGGCTTTTGTCTAGCTGGCTCCTGGCCAAGGGTTTCATCGTTAATGGTTAGTGAGACGGAAACTATAACAGAAGCAATTCATTAATCAAAAATAAAAATGAAACTAGAAGCTCAAAGGAAAGGGGAAATTAACACGAATTTCCAAACTAGCTGAAATAAAATTTTTAAATGAGTAGAAATCCTCTTTGGGGCCCTAAGCAAAATTCGATTAACCTGGCTGTCATTCGCCATCTTCCCTCCAATTCTGATAGGCTGATCAGGTGGGGGGCCCCCTGGTGGCCGCTGGTAATGGTGTAACCTTCATTGTCATGTCTTTAATAATGCCGTTTGGGGGCTGCTCTCGGCGGCGGGGCCCCCACCTGGGCACGGTGGAGTGGCACACTCCTTCCTCTCGGTGTGGTGGCCCTCGCACACCGGGGCCAGCAGGTGGCGCTGTGGCCGCGTGCTGATGCACCGGCGCTGTCGCACCCGGACCCCGACGTCGCTGCAGGCCATGGCCGAGCAGGGACCCCACGGCGACCAGTCTGACCAGTAGGTCTGTACTGGATAGACAAACGGAAGCGAAGTGTGAGCTGTGTCCCGTTCCGCCTCGTTGTAGCGTGTATCACTCTACCTTTCTGAGTGTCATTGTACTGGGAGGCCTGATGGTTTAATGGTTCACATCAGAACCTCAGACCTCCATGGCTGACAGTTTGATTCCCATCACCAGCTCTGAGTGTGAAATTTGCATTTTCTGTAAAATCAGAACCCAAGAATATCAGTATGCAATTCCTCACCTTTCATACTGACATAGTTTTCAACTAGTCTGGTTTTTGTGCCGCCCCGAGATTTTCAGTGGCCCTATCTGGCCGCACGTATGACAAACTTCTCGGGGGGGGGAACACTGGTTCTCACTCTGTTGTGTGGCCTTCTTCTTAAGATGCTCTGTGATTCAGTAATTGGTGCTTCTAAATTCCTCATGGTGTGTGACTGTGTATTTCTGTCCCTCAACACACTGGCATCCCAACCAGAAAGCTCCACCGTTTTAACCCCCCTGCTTCCTGGAAGAAGCCCTATACTCACTGTGACCTAGTGCTGGATAAAGCAGTCATGGAAGATCAATGGATGGATATAATTGTACTGGTCTCACTGGTGCCATTAAGATCCAAGCTGAGCTTCCTTAACTATGAAGATAGTTGTTTTTCCAGAGTTTCTCCACGTTTTTTCCAGTGTAATTAGGAGAAGAACCTCAGAGGAACATGGTGGAAGAGCTCACCTGGAGGGCATTGGAAGCGCACGTGGTAGTTGGAGCAGAGGCGGCCGTATGGTTGCTCCTTGTTGATGCACCAGAAGCCCTTCTCCAGGCTGGAGTGGACCACCTCCCCAGTGTCTGCAGCACGGACCCAGTCGGTGGTGCGAGCTTCCATGGCAACCGGACGGGCGCACACTCGCTCACGGTAGTAGAAGCGGATGGCCTCAAGTCGCTCGTAATCCCCGTTGCCCCCGGGGTGGTCGATGTTGAACCAGGACGTCCACTCGGTCACACCTGTGGGATTCGTGAAAGGAGAGACGCGTGACACTGGAGCTTCTTGGCGTCAACCACTGCAGATTGGCCAATGGGACATCGGTAGATGGAGAAAGGGAGACGTTTTCCACAATAGTGATTCCCAGCCTTTTGATGTCGAACCTCAGGTACACAGTATGTGCGGGAATACGGGACGGCTCTTGTATTGCTGTATATCGGCACAGGTCACGCCTTTTTATTTACCATTATGGAGTGATCCCTTAATTCACTGGATGGGTGGAAATTCTACCGCCAGCACCAAAGCTACGGTCAGGCCCCGGAGCCAGAAATAAATTTTGTGGGAGATCTGCGTCTGCAGATTTTGCAACTGGGGGCTGAGGGCCTGAGGCAAACTTTGAGGGGAGTTTTAACTTGTCATTCTACTAACTGGCTACATGCCTAATCAGTAACCAAAAAAAATTTGGAGGGGGGGGGGAAGGGGATTAAATCCATCATTTCACTACATGGCTACATGCCTGGTGCTGGTCCACAGACCGGCAGGTGGGAAGCCCTATTCTAACCCTCCATCCACACCGTCTGTCCCATGGGTGTCTGTTCAGTTTTCCTCTGCCACCTGTTTCCATATTCAGTCGTCAAGATGTGAAGAAATATGGCTGCCATACTGGGAAGTCTACACACTGTATATCTTTCATTGAATTATTTATTACCGCGCTTAAAATATTTTTCGGAGGGTCATCAGTCATCAGAAGATGAACTATTTTAAAAGCAGTCTGAACCAGTTTTTTTTTTCTTCAATTTTTCGGACTATAACCAAATTTCTGTTTAACTGACATCACTTGGAAAATTATAACCTGATTGTGTTCTTTTGTTTCCTAGGCTCCAGATTTCATTGTTGCCTGAGTTTGCTTGAAATGTTTAGAAGTATTTATTGAGTTAGAAACTCCTGAGAAATCTAAGACATTTAATGCAGGTGTTTTTCAGTAGTGGCTTGACCCTCATACTTATTTTTACGACTCTTTTTATATTTTTATGAACCCTTGTGTTTCAAAATGTGGAATCTTTTAAGGGAAATAAAAGCTGATGGCAACAGAACTGCGATGCGGCGAGCGACACTTCGAGCCCCGAGGGAGCAGAGAGATTAGTTATGTTCATACCGACCTGCGGTCTGTGGCTCGATGAGGGTGTTATAGACCTGTCTTCTGCTCTTTTTATTGTGGTTCCACTTCCCGAAGTATGAGTTGTTCCACATGGAATCTGTGTCAAATGAGAAAGAATGCAGTGAAGCCAGATTACTTTACCTGTGCTCGGTCTGTTAGCAGGAGAGACTGGCAGTGTCTGGCCAAAGTTTGGCTCCTTGTTTATTGGAGACACAAAATGTATCAAGAGGCACGAGTTGTGCTGAATGCTGCTATTCCGTCGTCAGTTTGTTTCCAGGGTGTCTGAGAATCTGCAAAGAGCTCCTCGCTCCTGGACTGGAACCTGTGCAAGACAGCTGATCTCACCCAGCATGTTTCCCTTGGGGCGTGTCTGCATTTTGGGGGCTTCTTTTTCGTCTGTCTGCTACAGGAAGATGTGCACTGATCTACTTGGCCCTTTTCCACAGTTCAGATCTAGAGGTGTTGGATCGTGTACTAAGCACTGTTGGGGTCTAGAGGTTTTGAATCATGTAATATGCTGTCAGAAAAAAACGAGCACCATTTGTACCTTTGCTTGTCACTGTTTGCTGTGCCCTAATGGGTCTGCCAATTGTACCATATAGTTGTAGGTAATTGTACCTTTTAAGGTACAGAAATTAACTCTGAGGAACATCCCCAATGTACAAACAACATTGAAGTATCCCCAATGCTACAAAAATATTCCTCAGAGTCCATTTCTGTATCTTAAAAGGTACATTTACCCTTGAGGGTACAGCCCCAATGACAAGCAAAGGTACAAATCGGTACCCTTATTTTCTGACAGTGTAAGCACTGTTGAGGTCTAGAGGTTTTGGATCGTGTACTAAGCACTGTTCAGGTCTAGAGGTGTTGGACAGCATGCTAAGTACTGTTCAGGTCTGGTGGTTTTGTACCATGTGCTAAACACTGTCCAGTTTTATTAGGAGGCAGTGCACATGTGGAAAGTTATTTGTTCTGGTTTGTATGATTGGATCTGCCATTTGCATTTCGCTCTACCTTCCTGAAGTGATCGTTACGTCACAACACAAGTATGTAGTGTAGCTTCTGTAAAGGTTGTCAGAGTAATCAGGAGAGAGGATGAAGGCAAGCAGGTTTCCTTGTGCTTCTCCTTGAAGGAAGCCCCCGCTACCTGTATGTCCGTGCATCTGGGCATACGAGGGCTTTAATATCCTGCTGAATCGCGCCGAGTCCAAAATCTCTTCTAAACAATGTCCTCATCAGTAAATACAGTGCTGTGATAAGGCAATCTGGAAACAGCTTTTAAAAATGTGTGCCTTTATTAGTGGTGTGTCTAGGAAAATGTCCAAGTCGTACATCCCCTGTTTGATATAGCGCCACCGCGAGTGACGCCGAATCATTATCAGTGGTATTTGCAACATGCGGTCCTAGAGCTGCACATCTGTTTCTGCGAGCTCATTCAAAGCATAACTCTCATCTCATTCCCTCTTCATAAAAAAACGATCACCATATTTTATGTATCATTTACTCTTCGCAAAGTGGTCCGTATCCAAAAAACTTGTTTATTCGCTTTGGCAGAGAGCACTTAATGGCGTCCTCTTAAATGAAAAATGTACAAAACATAAAACTGCTCTGTTGATGTTAGCAGGATATAAAATTTTTGCAACACATTTCCTTTTGACTTGTTTTACTTATTTACTGTCGCACTTAATTTACTTTTATTAACTGGGACAATTTAGCTGTAATCATTTTTTTATGATTAACATATTGCGACACTCATACATAACTTAGACGTTTAGGACTGTATCGTTTTAGTGTCACCATTCCGTAGTTTAACTGATTATAATCCATATATATTCTTTTTGCAGTCTTTATTAGGTGACAATCTTCATAAAGGACAAATACGATTACGCTTAGTGCAAGAATTTGTATGATGTCATTTTATTTCGGGTTAGTAAACTCTGTCAAAACGCCATGCATTGTTATATGTAAGGGAGCGATATCTGTTTAAAAAGAATGAAGTCAGATAATCCCCGTAAAAGTTCCTATTGGCGGATGATGTCATGCTCATGCGCAGACGGTCTCGTCCCGCAAACCCTTGGTAAGTTTGCTTACGGTTCGTGGTCTGTTTGTAAAGTGGAATTAAATTTTAAGTGCAATAGGTAGCTCATCGCAGCTTGCTCATACGTAATACTGCACGTTTTGTCTGCGGTAATCTGTGCGTATTACCTGGTGTAGAACGACATAGATGGATTACTAGTAGTGACTGAGTAGGGAAGCGGGATCAGACACTTTGGATGATGCAGTGGACCCGCGCAGGCCAGCGCAACTTGCGTCAGTATAGAAATGAGTGACTGGGCTTTTCATAAAAATGGGAAAAACTTCAGAATCCAACATCAGCTAGCACCCCCAGGCTGCATCCATCGGCCTCTGTCGTCGTGTTCGTGTTTGGCATTGTTGGCACACATTTTCCCCCATTATTTTGGGATGCGCTATTTCAGATTGTCACGCTACAAACTTCACTGCCCGGGGCAGTGAGGCACGGAGGTTAATTAAAAATATAAAGTGCTTTGCAATCCAAGTCCGTGCAAGGTGCCCCTGCTAGAAGCTAATAAAATGTGGAAAATGTCATTTACCTTCTTAAAGAATAAAGATTAGGCATTTCCATATGCTAGATTTGGATTAGCAGACTTGTGCTGCTTTCTTCCAGTACGGCTCATTTGTGCGAATATGTTTCAGAGTATTCCAGAGAAATGTCCAAAACTTTTTTTTTTTATAAAATATGTAAGACCTTGAATAAACTACCGTTTCTTAAATTAACAGCGCAAATGCGGCCTCATTATTTCACTTAAGTGTTATGACAGACCAGTGGTGTAGAAATCTTAGTGAATCTGATCACTAGGCTCATTGGGATTTAGATAACGAGAAGAACTTTGCATGTATTAAGAAATAGTTCATTTGGATAAAGGCGTGCCAGTGGGCGGGGTGTTTCGGCCGCCCCATGATGCAGTCACCCATCTGGAAGCAGTTGGACCCCGTTCCCTGTGAGTCTGGCCACAAGCCCCCAGTGCGTTCCTTGTCCTCTATGAAAGGTTCGTAGACGGATTGCTCTATCTGGCCCTCTCCCTGAGACAGGATTAGGAGCCATTGACTAAAATTTCCAGATGCTTCTTTTATTGTATTAGAAGCATCTGTGCGCTATTACTGTAAACCTAGTTCCCATATGACAGTAACTAATGAGGCAAATCGGCTTTGGGGTTTTTCTGTGATTAAAAAGAAAATGCGAAGCCTTGTGTTTTCGAAGGAAATCTGTCTGTTGATGTATAAAAGGAGATATTTATAAAAAAAAAAGCTGTCCTAGGAGCCACTGTACACACACCAGGCACACAAACTAGTAAAAAATGTTATATTAATAAGTCAAATTTATCATTTGCTAAAGAGGAAAAGAGATTGATCTGGTCCGTGTAATTCTGAAGGATATGCTGTCCATAGATAGTTTTAATGCCTCTTCTCAGGCTGACTGATGTCTTTGGATTGCAGCGTCCGCGGCGGCGTCCGGCTATTTAAAACGCGACTTGGAGATTAGCGGCGTCCGCCACTGATGTTGCCTTTGGTCAGTCCGGAAAATCCGAGAGCAGCTGTCTGCCCAAATTGGAGATCGGGTCATAAATCCGAGGCGGCAGAACCGGAGCGAGACAGTCAGAGCATCATTTCACCTGTTGTCGCTGTATTCTTTTCAAGCATATTTTTAAAGACTATATTGTACTTTAATAATGAATCAGGCCATTTTGTACATATTTGGACCTGGACACCAAATTATTTGAATTTCTCGAACTGTATATCGGCGTCTTCTCTGAATATTTGCTTGAGGAATTACAGGGCTTTTTAGGAAATCTAGACTTTCCGTTATTGCTCAGCATCAAATAGGAGCAAGATTTCGAGCCACTCAGCCTGGTTAATTTTCTTATGGTCTGTACATTTTTAGTTTCTTTTGCTTAAAAAAAAAAAACTGGGACACATTTCAAAAACATTGTTTTGTCGAATGGACGCCACCATGATGGGTAATCATGAAGACTATGGAGCATATTGCAGCACATGTTAAAAATAATTTACTGAATAATAAGTGTTTGAATTGGTGATTTTGCTGCCCAAAATGTGTGGAAACGTTCACGATGTCCCAGAATGCCTTGTGTGCTGTCAGACAAGCTCCAGTGCTTCTGGTTTGACTGTGGCACATGAGCTGACAGCAGTGCCTAGTGCCGGCTATGGTGGGATATCCAAACAGCTGGCGTGCCTTTCTGATGTCACTGGTGAGTCACTCAGGGTGATAATACACTGATTTTCCAAACAGGCGCTCTTCATTGTTATATTAGGATCCCAGACATTTGACCTGAACAATTGATAGGTGATTTATGTAGCTAATAATCACAAAGCATTTTCACTTCGCTGTATTTGTGGGGACTTCCCACTGACCCCCATTTTAAAATAATTAATGCCAATACACCACAACACAGTCACACATAACTGATATTTGTTTTGACTTTTTTTCCGCAGTTTTTTTTTTCTCAGGTTATGCTACAAGAATTAAGCTATTTTATTCCACATACAGTTAAAATAATTGCATACTTTTATTTATTGCGTCACGCATACTTGATAGATATTTGTCAGTGGTACTCCAGTCATTTAATGTCCTGGTAATATTGACCGACGACAATGCCAGACCACAGCGTTCTTAAAATGTGTGTATTTTCATATAGTGACCTTTAAAGATGAGTTAATGTAGAGTTTGCTGTGGAATTCCGGCAGTGTTGAGAGGGTTCCCCTTACGATTTAACGCCACAATTGACGCAATAAACACAAATCGCATGGAAAAATACCTTTGCTTATACATGAAGGCAAGTGTTAGAATCTGGCATCAGTCGTTATAATGACACTTCAGCTGCTGAAACACAAGCCAGTCACTGACTGCAATCAGGCTCACGCCACTTACCTTGCGCCAAAGTGACTGCTACTAGAAGAGGTAGACAGACAGCCACCTTCCCTAAGCTCCACATGGTGCCGGACTTGGCGTCTTCCTGCACTGCCTTGCTGCTTCAAGAAGGCTCTCCAGCTCGGTAGACGAGGATGAAACACTCCTAGGATCAGGGCGCCTGAGGCTGAGGTGTGTCTCTTATCTTTTGACACTGGTCAGTGTGAGTTCTCCCCAAGACAGAGGTTTAAAAGAACGGACATCAGCCGACGGCCCAGTCCGGCCCCCTTCTGCCTGCCATTGGCCGGCGGGATCTGTCTGATGCCCCCCCCCCCACCCACAAACTGGGCAGAAAGCATGCAGTGCACGATTTCACATGCTCAACATGTTGCTCTTTAGAGATGTGTGTGTGTGTTTTTCCCAAACCAGCACTTGCAGGTAGCTCAGAAAATGAGCAATACTGATTAAAACTAGAATCAAAACCATGACGTAATTATAAAAAAAAATTGTGTGACCCATCACAGTGACTTTAAAGTCCTTCATTATCACGTAGATACTTATACCCGATTGCTGCTGTAGTTTTGTGTATCCTGATATTTTATTGACAAGTTTATACGTTTTTTCCAGCTTTTTCTAGTCAGGAAAAGATACCTTGGCTAGACTTCAGTTAACTGGCCTGTGTGTTATGCAGTCAGCTGACAGTCAGTCATTTTAGTTATTCCAGATTATTGCAGTATGTGTTTGAGAATACAGTGCTTTGTATATTCCAGTAGCAACCCTTGGTAAACATCACCAACCAGACATGCATTAATTATGCATGCAAATGAGATATACAAAAGAGTCTAATTGAAATTGATAACGTAATTAACACACTGCATTCTGTGGACGCAGTGAGGTGTTATGTAAGTTTTTCCGACTCCTGCCGTGTTCTGGGGTGATGGCAATAGCAGATGTTAACCTTGCCCTGAGATGTAAGTTGAGCAATTGTTTACCAGACCGGGCTGCACTTTCTGTATGAAGTGCGGCCATTTGGCACGCAAGCGGGGGAAAGCGGTGCTGTCATGTAAAGCTGAGCACATCGATTGCACCCGGAGACGCTGGAAACGCAGAAGTAGTAGTAGTTCTGGGACACGTGATGTGAGGTGATGCACTCGCTTTTGTTATTCGTTGTTGTTGCCTAATATCCAAAGTGGCCATTATTCCATATAATGAAACTGTCAGTATTATTTAAACATTGTTAAATATGCAATATAATTTGCATTCTTAAAACACCCTCTAAAATTGATAGATTAAACTGTATATGTGTGTATGCAGATATAAAGTAATTGATATGGTCCGACACACGCTTTGATCATATTTAATTATATGAGGAGACATTTAAATGTGATGCTTCCTTATTTCTTATTTGCTCATTATAAATATGTATAAATTATGTTTGGGGATTTTTATTGCGCCTTGTACTGTTTTCCATGCATGGTAAGGAACAGAAATATGTTCTGGTGTGACCATGTGCTTTTCAGCATTTTTCTGATGGATTATTTTGAAACTAGTGCATATGCCTTTATATATTTTAACTGCATTCATACAGATCTGGAAAAAATACATTTTGCTGTGGTCTCTTAATTTTCGGTTTCACTCGTTTCTCAATTTATGGGTAAGTGCCTGTGTAAAATATACATTTTTTTACAAACTCCAGTTTGGCTCATCCCTTCTTCCCATTGATGAAGGGCTGCTTCCTTGCTTTATGGGTCTTCAGTTCTGCTTCTAACAGCCTGTTATGAATTATCCTAGCAGTGCACTTCACACCACTTAATGTTTCCCATTCAATTTGAAGGTCACTTGAGGTCCAATTTATGAGGCACTGCTGGATAAGTTGACGTTCATCTCTGGCATTAGAAAGTTGCTTCTGCCCTCTACCTGGCTGGTGTTTGGTTATTGCCAGTGTCTCCTGCTTCACATTGTTCTTGTTTACTGCTGTCTTAGAAACTTTGAGCCTGGAAGCAGCCTGACAAGCAGTGTAGCCGCTGCCAGCAGAACCAGGATTTGAAATGCAGATTTTTTTTTAAAAATACAGTGGTTTCTTACATTTTTCCTGAGCTGTAGGATGCATGACATTGAACGAAACATCAGATCAATGGGTAATGATGACAAGCAGCCACAAGCCTCAAAATTCACTGCAACAGTTAGTAATCTGCAGGTTCATTAGACCGGTAACCAGCGAAAGTAAGTCTAGCAACTTGCAGAGCCTGCTCTTTGTATTAACAGGTATGTAGACAATTCAAGGAGCAAGGCCATCACACATAGTGGATGAGCTGTGAAAAACTCTGGCAGTAACTGTTCTGTACTGCTGTTAATGTCCCTTGCTTTTACATCATGAATGAGAGCTTAAGATTCGTAGTAAACATTAGGCTTAATCCACAGTAGTAAGACTATGCATAAAACCATTTCCTATTATCTCCCTGCTGTTAAACATCTTCCAGATTTAATTCCAAGCATCAATGTTCCATTTAAGGTTGTTTTCCTCGTGTACAGACATCATAATCCCCCCCCCCCACTCAAATACAAGCACCGCGACGAAAGCGAACAAGCTAATACTTCAAGTTAAATAACTGGAAACATTCGCCCATGAAACATTGTTTCTTTCTGAAATTACTTTTCACTTTCTCCTGTCCAAGAAAACAAAAAGAGAGCCAACAGAATCCGTCATACTTTCTGCAGACCGGTTAAGAAAATTGATCCCCTCGTTGAGAATAACGTGGCGCGCCGAGATGTTTATGTTCTGTGTATATGCGAGCGTATGAAAGCGTAACCTGTATGTCTGCTACACGTCGAGTTTCGCTATACCTCCAACGCTGCAGGGCCAGAATTGATGTCGTCCAAAGGTTTGCGGACTCTGTAGTGGCTTACAAATCTATGCTGAGAAGGTAGGTCCTCAATCAGGGCCGAATTGAATGTGGGTGGGGGCCCCAGGGATACAGTCATTGCTGGGGGCCTACCTACAGCATAAAACACTGCAGTAACAAGCAGGGGGAAAAAAAAAATCGGGGGCCATAAAATTCGAGGTCCTGGGCAGCAGCGCAGGTTAACGCGTGCGTAAGTGTAGATCTAGATCTCAACGCGAGGCACCGCTTTAGACTCAAACCCATGCTTCAACTTTGGCCTCATCTGCGGTTCCTTCTGTTGCAGAATGACGAGGCTCCTGGGAGAGCTGCATCCTGAATACAGCTGCAGTCTTCTTCTCTTGGCTGATTCTGGCAAACTCAGTTCCGTTTATTCTGCTGTAAGGCCAGGAATATGTCCGTATGCTTTTAGTTTCTCAGTCAAAATTCAAATCCTTTATCTCTTCATACTGAAACGGTATTTATTCATCAATGCTGATTTAAAAAAAAGTCATTAGCCAGTAGTCTTTAATGCACATTAGAACACAATATGCATAAAAAACAAGCATTGTTTTGTGCTTTCATTTCTTCTCAGTCTACTTTTGGGCTACAGTCATGATTGTTACCACCTTGATACAATGCCTAATTACAAAAAAATCCATTTACAGGTAAATTGGGCTAAGACAACAATCCATATTTAAGACCTTTTATTTATCAAAGACCCCTAACAACTGCTCTAGAATGAGTAAAGAAAAAAAAACACTTCAAAGAAAAAAAAAAAATGTGGGATGGAGCACTTCACATGTAAAATGTGGCACGTACTAATATACTACTTTAAAACGTAGTAATTCATGACAATAAATAATATATACTATGGTAAAATTAAACGTCACATAAATTATCAGCACCAAATTAGTAACATTTTGCTGTGATTAAAAAAAAATGCAATGAATAATCACACTCTTCTCAAACTGTTCGCTAATTTACGACGACTGAGACCACCCACAATGCAACATTCTAAACAGTCTATTTTTGTTCTTTTTAGAAGCAACAGGGTAACTGGAAAATATGTTCCAGACCCACATAATATAGCTTGGAAATAGTAACAACAAACTATCAATAATAATAATAATATATCTATTAAATACAAAAAGGAGCTTGTGTGTGTGTGTATATATATATATATATATATATAGTAGTTTATCTGTAAAAGCATGGGCATGTTTGTTACAGTTGTATAAGGCAGTCCGTGCCGGGGTACTCGGGCAGATTGAGCTCATATTTCTTCTGTATGTCATAGGGAAGGAAACGTCCGACGAGGAAGTGCTTTCCGGGGAAACTGGCCGCACACCTCTTCGGCACCGTGAGGGAGATGAGGACCTCGGGATTAATCCCGTCTGTGCCGGGCTCGTCCGCATCCCAGCCTTCGACAGAGAGTTGGTGGTGAGCAGGGAGTGAGTATGTAATGACATTATACATAAAAACTGCACGACTCCATTTCACGTCAAGGTTTACATTTTGGCTATAGAACACTATACATATAACAGTAGGAGGAATAAAATGATGACTTTTATTTAAGGATAGCTTTCAATTGTGTATCTTAACCTAGGTGCTTGGCGATAGAGTGCTATTTAGCTTAGGCAGCCCAACATATTGTTTCTAGGATCAAGCATTACTGATTTACATGAATGTGTTTCTCCGTCACCATCACTGAGAAACCCCGTAATTTTGGGATGCAGAAAGACAGCACCCGCTCGACCTGGTGCCCAGCACCCCTGAGCCCTGGAGGCTGGCATCTTACCCGACGGCACGTCCACGCTCACGATGGGGATCTTGATCTGTTTCAGGGTGGCCAGGATACTGCTGTATGGTTCCCTTACATCCGTGTGATCGGCTTCAGGCCCCAGGATGGCATCAATCACCAAGTTATAGGCGTCATTAATCAACTGGACCTAAACCGGGATAGAGTCAACACTGTCTAAACTCTGGTTTCTATATGATGCATTTTAATAACTTGACAGAACCTTAAAAAGTCCTTTAAGTATTGCAACACACACATGTATTAGTGAAAATTGTGTAAAAAAATATATATTTTTTTAAATGTCAAACTAGCTGTTCAGTTCGTAAATGCGGTTAAAATGACTGAATCCTTTGTTAACAATCCATATTGTTGCTTCGCTTGACAGGTATCCTGGGTCAGTGATTCTCAACCTGGGGGACTGCAGCCCACTGGGGGGCATCAGTCAGGCCCACTGGGGACATGCAATTTATTTGAAAAGTGAAGAAAAAAAATATGACATTGACATATGATCTGGCCGGTAGCCTGTATCAAAAAATTTTACAGTATATTGATATTTTTGCTAAACGAGATGTAGGATAATAAATGTTTATATCAATATAGTTTAATTGTATTAAAATTAGGGCTATTTTTAATAGAAACCAAAAGTGGTCCTTCCTAGTTTTAAACAGCTGGAGGGCTTTGGTCATGACATTACACAGAATCCCAGAATTCACAGCTAAAAATCAATTCGCGGCGTCTCAGAGAAGCCGAGAGAGGGGAAAGGCAAGGACTCATCGTTACATTTACTTTCAGCTTTTCAAGACACCCGAAGCACTTCACAGACCTGGATGATGCAACAGCAGCCATTCAATGCCAGTACACTCATCACAGTAGCTAGGGGGATTAATTTTAATAGGGGATGATTAGGAGGCCAGATCTGAAAGGGCCACAGTGGCCAGTTTAGTCAGAACATCAGGGTACCACCCCCAGGGATCTTTTATGACAGTGAGTCAGGACCTCGGTTATACGTTATCATTTGAAGGATGGCGCCACTCTACAGCACTGTATCTCCATCATTGCACTGGGGCCCCAACAGACCTCAGGATGGACTAACCTGTTGGCCTCACCAACACCTCCTCCAGCAGCAACTCACTTTCCTAGTTTGTCTCCCATCCAAGTACTGGCCAGTACTTAGCTTCAGATGCATTACCTACTCTGACCTGCAGGTGGCACGGCTGCTGATACACTTGGTTCACTTCAATTGAAACATTGTTAAAAATATCACAGTTTGTAACATGTCATTTTGTTAAAGGCTAATGCCTTAAAATGAAGGTCTTTTCAGTTAAGAACGTTTAATGTTTGTCAGGTTTCTGATTTTAGAGCCATTTCCCAAATAGGTTTTAAATATAGTTTTTTTTGTTCACAAACATTCACCCTCTGTTCTGAGAACAATATCACAAACTGAGGGGAAAAAACAGTGTTATAATGGTGGACATGTGCAAACGAAATTACATCGTTTGGCAGTGTAACCAAATTAAATTGTATTAATAAACGATGGCAATTATCGTCATCATTGCAGAACACATACATGAGAAACGACATCAGAACCTGTCTAACAGGGTCCAAACGTGTCTTCCTGGACACAGGGGATCTTGGGATTAAAAGAGGTTGAGAATCGCTGTCTTAGGTAACTGTCTAATGTTCATTATGGACAATTTAGCCCCAGTCATTGCTTTGTTCCTAGAGTCTGCTGCGCCTTTGTTCTGAGCCACACACCTCTGCAGGAAGGTAGGAGAGGAACGGGATGTCCATCTTCTCGCACTGCACCGTGAAGTCTTGATGCAGAGTTTGAGGGGAGCGCTTGGGGTAGAAGATGGTAGGCTCGTATTCCTGCCAAGGGGACGGGGACAGGAGGGGACGTCAAGACCCTTCTGCCAGGTCCTAAATGGTGACGTCAACAGACACTTTTACCCAAAGTGCCGTACAAGTGACGGAAGTTTGGGGTTCACCGCTGCCACTGGGCCAGTCGAGGGCCTTTTTCAACTCACGACCTTCCGGATACAGGGTACGATCTCATACCCACTGAGCCACACAGCTCCCCCCGGTGGACAGGACTGATGAAGGGTGACCTCACAAAGCCACTCACCTGTGGTCCAAACCACTAACAATCTGTATGACAGCTACCCTTTAACTGTATTCCTAGACCCGTGTGTTTTTGTTTTCATCTTTTGCTAAGCAACGCTGTCGGGGGGGAGCCGTGTTTCTGTCTGTCTGAGTCCGCAAACATCCAAATGTCTGCCTCTGAGCGGGGAGTGACTCCCCCCACATTACCCATGCAAGCCCCTGAGCTTAACCACGTCCAACTGTCGGCAGGCGTCTTATCTCTGACTGGGAGACACGCCGGTGCTTTGACTGGGATCTGTGGTTTAGCCCCAACCTGAAATAGAACAGCTTTAGCCACATCATCACGGGCATCGTGGGTAATCGGGCATCATAAGAGCCAGTCACCGCCAGCCCATAAACAAGAGAGCAGAATATATATGGCCACAAAATATTCAGTTTGAAATATTAGGCAGACAAATAGGACAAATTAATATCCATTTAAACACCGGGGGTAATGTTGAAATATTCAGCGCTGGTTTTCCAGCGATGGTTATTTATTATGAGAATAAATCCCAGGTGTTACTTAAAAAGTTCAGTGTGAGCTCACAGTGAAAGGGAGAAGAGATTAGTGTCCTGCACATCAGCAGAGGTGCCAGGGCTGTAACGGCAAAACCGAATTGAGCGCTGGATTCATTCTTGGCTCACCGCTGACGGCCGTTTTTTAATTTTTTTTATTTTGTGTTTTTTCTTGTGAGCTACTCTGTGTCCCCCAACGCCAGGCGGCTCCTATAAGGTGTGTGTGTGTTTCGGGGACAGATCGCAGGCGGCTCAGTATTTGACGACGCGCCCTCTCTCGAACCCTGGACTACATGGTGGCTGGGCGCAGATTTTCCTCACAAACTCAATGGCTGCCTTACTAATTTGTGTGCAAATGTGTGCTAATTAGAATATTTGTTATTTTTTTTATAGTAAGGGATTTGGCCCTGTTAGGAATCCTGGCACAGTAAAAATACGAGATGATCACGGTCATGTTCCCCCCATCTCCTCGCCGCGGTGCAGTCTATAAAACATGACCAAAAACACCTTAATTAAATTTAATTTAATTGTCTGGCTTCATTGTGAGAGAGTCTGTATGACAGGACTGAGCAGCTCAGGCTGTGTATTAGACAATGCTGAAAGGGTCTAGTTCTTAGATTAATTTCAGATGGAGGTTCCAGGTCTACCTATACATGGTTTACGGTGTGTCGAACTTTCCTCGTATCAAGAACTGCTTTTTTTCGGCCCTGTTCTGCTGAGCTTGCAGGAGTGACATCACCACCGTCACTCTTTTTGCCTAATCAGCTGAATCACCGGAGCTGCCATCCCCTCGCACCCCGACCCGGCCCACATGCCCACATGCCCACATGGTGCTCTACTCACAAATATGCGAAGGTGGCGGGCACACACCAGCCCCACGGAACCATTCTGGTCGGGGCCGCAGACCACAAGCACCGTGGGCTGCTTCTTAGCCAGGGTGCCCAGCGGGAAGGCCTGCGGGTGGGGGGTGGGGGGAGGAAGCAGAGATACGGGGTGAGCATAAGTAAAGATCACCTGCTGACCTGGCAGTTCCTCTCTCTACCTGCAGGGGTCCTCTGTCTGTCGCCAAGCAACCAGCATCCACCTTTGTTGACTGACCTATGCATAGCAGGGGGGGGGGGGGGGTAAAGTACAGGGGGAAATGACACCCTTTGTTTATTTACTTTTTTTAGACCCCAAACTCTTTAAAATAACCCTGACAGCGTTGGAAAAAATACCGACACGCACGTCAGAGGATGCAAACTTTAAATAACACACTTTCCATCGCTCTTCTGAACCCGAGCCGCATGGCCCACATTGTTCCCATTTTCCCGGCCAAGTCTGGAATCTCAGTTTTTCTGCGTCGGGGGCCTTTAGGCGGCCCGCCAACTGCCTGCGTAAAAATGCTTTCGAGCAGTGCCACATGAGGGATGCATGCTGAACAGGCGACGCCTGAGGGGATTTACGTCTTTAATCGGAGGATCGAGCAGAAGTAAACTGATGAGGCAAAAAGCTCGTTAACAGGTAGCGGTCAGTTAGGATAATGAGCACATACGCATTCTGCTCAGAAGCGCTCAGAGTGGCCTGTCTGGAGACGGCTCACCTGCGTGAACGGGAGCTCATTAAGGTGCCCTTTACATCTCACACCTCGTAACACCGGGCCGCTCGGAGGCACCCAGAGGGCCCAGTTTGGCAGACTTTCCCAGAGCAAAGCACTGATGTTGATTGAAACTAATTTTCCTTAATTAAAGTCAAGGTGAGACGTGCCCAAGGAAGCACACAGAGAAAGCGCTGGCAGCCTGGCCCCCTCATTACTCTTCCCGCGCTCACGTCAGCCTTGACATTTCTCCACGCGCCGCGGCCCCCATCCCTACCCCCGGGCAGAATGTCCTCCTGGTGCCTGCATCTGCCAGCGTTCTCCGTGTCCTGCTGTGGACCGTCCAAGACCAGGGAGAGAACACCTCTCTTTGCTCAGAGAGAAGCAGAGGAAGAGCTTCTTTCCCCAGGCGATTATTGGACTTGTCCTTAATGAGGACAGCATTTCGCACCTTGGACAGAGCCGTCACCAGAGACCCAGGCTACTCGTTAGTGTACATATGTAAATACTCATTTATTCTTAGACTGGACTACTTGCTATTTTACTGCGCTACAGCTATTGATTATTGTTTTATGTCTTACGTCTTGTTTTTCCATACTTATGTCCTCTTTATACTTATTTCTTAAGTCCTTTGTTCACAGTCTGGGGCTAAGCAGGCTTGTGTTTCACTGCATGTTATACTGAATATAATTGTATACGTGACAAAAAAAAAAAACACTTTGGAGACGCACCTCTGTCATTTGCAAATTAGCAATGCGCCCCCTAATCACGCCGAGCCAAAAGTCCCGCCTCCCACAGTGTCGTCTTAAAGAAGACGAAACGAAAAACACCCGGCGGGGGACATGAAAGGTTCTCACTTCTCACTTTCTCAGGAGTCAAAACAAGTCGGCCATTTTGAATTTCAGATCAAGTTAGACTCTAGTCACCAAGCGAGAGCTAATCGTGCAGCCCTGAAGTTAATTGGGGGTTTGGATTTTGGTGGGGAAGTTAATACCACTGTGGTGCATAAGTCCCTGACTTCCAGCTGGTGACCACAGCTCTCAAATGGAATGATCTCTCTGCCCCTTTGGATTGGCTTGGGGTAGCAGCGCAGCACAAATAAATTCACAGTTGAAATCAGTAGTTCTAATAATTGAAATAATACATGTCCCTCTGGTAAATGCAGTAGGAAAATATAAGATCTTCTGCCAAAACAAGTGAGGAAACATACATCATTTGTCTAGGAATGTCCACAGCAGAAACACAAAGGTTAGACAAACTTTCAGGTTGGTCATATGAGAGCGTTTGAGACGACTCTCCGACAACGATCTCTGGGCCGACCCATACCAGACAAAACCAGTGACCACATCAGTCTGGCTGGGTCCATTTCAAGCTCCACATGCAGGGCTGATGTAAGGCTTCTCCCTGCCAGACGGAATTCAATCATCTAACCGAGTCGCTCCCCGCTACCGATGACGCCTCAGGCTCCACAGATCCGCCGAGACGCCGGGTCCTTGGTGAGCTGGCGGAGCAGCCACACACGGTGCTCGCTGCCCTTGCCCATTTCTGAGCATCTGGACATGTGTCTGGGCACTTCAGAGTATCTGGGTTGGTTGCGGAGGGTGTGTGCAACAAGGCAGAACAGACCGGCACTGACGGCCCAAGACCGGGGGGCGGTTGGGGATATGAGGTAATGGTGAAAGGGCACACGCACCTTGGCGATGGCCACGGCGCAAGCGTGACCCCAGATCTCGATCAGCTGCTGTTGTCCAAACCGATAGTCCGACAGCAGCTCTGTCTCAAGGGCAGCCGCCTCATCCTTACTGCAAAAGAAACAAGTTACGTCTTCAAACATACATATAGAGACGGACAAGAGGATATATTTGATGGTTTGGCATATTTTGCACTTGAGCTTATGGATGCAGGTCAACTCCAGGGCATCCTATAGGCATCATTTCCAGTCCTTCCCCATGCTGAACCGCAGGAGACACAAGGCGGGGATCAGTAGTCGGCTGAAGGCCGCCTGTATTTCTAGGGCATTGTCCCGGCTGACTCTCATTCTCCGCATGGCAACCTGCTCACTCACTGTTCTTAAAAGAGGAAATGCTGGAATCAGGATGTCACTGATTTGCAGGCTCCTGGAACGCAATGCTATGTGGATATCAGGATGAAACTAGGAGGTATTTCCCAGTAAATACTAGAAGTAACTCGTCTCAGGATAATCTTTGTCCCCCTTGTGAAACCTTATCTGGAGTTACGAGACTGTGTAACTTAGTGAGGGCCAGCTGTCAAAACGCTCTGTAAGGCATTAATCGTGATGCTAGGGACCCCTTGTGGATCATCTAAGCATTACCGCTTCCTTCAACCAGGATTATAATAGGCAATAGGTGTTTAAAATAATCTGTTGTCAGATTTAATTTGCAGGATATATTCGGTCACATCACGTATATAAAAATGCTGTTTCATTTCACAGACAGATGAAATGAGGTGCAAGACATTTCTGTCAGGTGTGTCAAAAGGTGGAATGATTGAACTTTACTCTAATGAGACTCGTGAAAAGTCACCTGTCTGACGCAACATTCAGCTCTACATAGCTGCTGTTCTCCTCCAGTACACTGGGGGCAGCATCATCACGCCATCAGGTCTGTACTTCATCATGAGCATCCTTATCCATCGCTTATCCAGACCCCAGGCAACGGAGGACACACAACAGGGGTACAGCCTGAATAGGATTCCACTTCATCAAAGGCCATTTTGCCTAACTGTGTGTCTTTGGACTGTCAGAGGAAACAAGAGCACTTGAAGGAAACCCTCCCAACTAGGGTGACCTCTCATCTGGGCGGTCTGGTTTTCCAGACCTCTGTCTGGACAGATTTTCACGGGTGCCCTCCAGTGATGCCAGTGGTAACCCTGCTCACAAAATGGAGAGAGCATGTTTACCACATGCACACGGAGCGGAACAGCAACACCTCCCACTGAGCCCACATTCTGACCTGACATTTTTATCATTATGTGTAAAAATGACCCTTGAGGTCTTTAGCCACCTGTAAACTACCACAGTAAACAGTATCTCAGAATGTCCCTCTGTTACACTGCACAAACAAACAGGATAAAGTCCATTTTCTGCTTACTACCTAATGCAGGTGTGGGCAATCTCATTTAGAAAAGCCTGTGTGTGTGGGTTTTCGCTGCAACCTAATTAGATTACTAATTATAGGACTGATTGGCTGGAGAGTCCTCACACTTAGGTTTGAACAGCTGACCTAAAGGTTATCCCAAAAACCTATAAACACACTGGCCCTTTGCAGATAAGATTGACCACCCCAACCTAATGCTTCCATATGTAGTAGAAAAACCGCATTGTCATAGTTTCACCACCAGGTGGCAATATTCGGCTTGACAAAAGTAAAGGGTGCGCGATCCCTTTCAGCAGCAAAACCCTACTTAACCATAAGGGCCAGGGGGTTGTGTGGATGAATACCTGCTGAATCCAGCTACAGTAAGAACCCACAGAGACCTGTTATCCCTCAACTGGAGATCCCATGATTTGCCCACAGGCCACAAATTACCCTGTCTGACCATAACGAGGTCCCCTAATTAGCCTGTTTCCCCTGCCAGATTGACTTGCACATTATACAAGCCTAATTGTGAAAAAAGTCAATGTTGCATGATATCCAGACACAAATGTCACCATTTGTAAATTATCATCCATAATAATTACATTCTAACTATGCATTAGGCTTATCATCTGAATGTTTGAAGGTTATGTACTGCACTAGGTATTCATTTGGAATGATTACACCTGCAGTATAAAAGAATGAAATAGAAAATAAGTGGGCAACTTCACTGTTTTCCAAGCTAAATCAAAACGAAAAATTCTTCTACAAGGAAGAAGAGAAAATACGACCTCCTTCCTATTCCTTATTTACAGGCAAGTAAACAGGTTCTAATTATGGCTCACCATGGAAACCGACATCAATTGGCCACTTATTTAATGCATCCTGCACCTGTTATTCTTTTTGCCACTCGTGCGCGTCTGAGGTCGAATCGCTGAACATGTGAAGGATCATTTACACTCTGCTGAAGTCAAGCACCCTCCATGTCACTTATTTCCTGGAAAAAAAAAATCACAAACCTTAGCCGGAAAAGTGGCTTAGAAAATGGAAATCCGTGGATAGAAAATGTGTCACGGCTGAGGGGGGATCTCGGTGTGCAAGTAATTCAAAACCTTTGCACACACCATCTTCCCCTTCTCACTCCCTGATGAAGCTCACGTGAAAATAATCGGATCTATCACACGCTTCAAGAAACCAGAGCGATAACGCGGCTAACCGAGGACGAACACCATAACACGCACCGTTAACAGAGTACAGACAGAATATTTCGCCCTTAACGAATACACGCCCTCGGAGTGGAATCACATGATTAAAACACAGCAGCGTTATCTTATTATTACAATAAAGCTTTCATTTACTTAATAAATTCAGATTTTAACAATAAAATTTAGTTTTACAGAAAACCCACAGACTCCTATAATCCAAGCTAGCAGATATAGGCCTAGTATGTATACCACCGACATATTGCGGATTATATGGGTTGATCTTGCCATTGACCATATAAATTTCTCAACTAAACTGTTTAATGTGTTTTTAAAGCATTTGCATACGTTTATAGCATGATGCTTTAAGTCTGCAATAACCCAGCTTAAAGGTTATAGCATATATACCACATATGTTTTGCATACGGATAAATCTCGGGCAAACCCAAGAAAACGTGTGACGGAGATACTGGCCAATCATGATGCTTCTACAGCTACATCCTCCAATACACGAATGCGATACTGCCAGGCCTTCTTCTGGCCACATTATTTTGTCCAATGGCCATACAGTGATCTTTATGGTCAGGGGTAATTTTCCTGCTTACTAAGTTCAAATAAGCACTTGCAGACATCATGAGGGAAGAGCTGATATGATCTTCAAATCATCTTGAGCAGCCTTAGAGTTACTTGAGGGCACCAGAGGATGACTGTTCTACAAGCGGAAATTGGCTTGAGGTAAATGAGGAGGGAGTTGCCCGAGATCAATGACTGGATGGACACGCATTTTTTTTTTCTTAGTTCAAATGGTACAGTAGCATGTTACAGGTATACTGTCAACAAGGAAGTTAACAGCCTCCATCACAGGCTAGATACATTACTAATTGGGATCACGCAAATTTGTGATTGCTTGGATCCGTCAATTAAATTTACTGCCTACACGTTACAATTTGTCTATCTGATTCACATATCCGGTTTTGGTTCGATTTAATGACAGCAAGTAATCTATTTGAAGAACAGAGATGAATCTCTGTAATAGCAAAGTCTACTGGCAGCCAAGAGCTTTCTTGGAACATGTATTAGTTAAAATTACTTTGCGTCCCAATAAATTACGGGAAATTAGCTTAGCAGTAATTTGCTTATCGCTTTTCACTGCGGGGGCTAATCCTGAAGGCTAAAGCAAATCATTTGCCCCATCGGTTTTTTCTTAATTACGGTCTATGAAAATTTCTGAAATCTAAAAAGTCCCATCGATTATACAAATAGGGTAATCATAAAAAAGGTCACGTCTCATTGGGATCAACGTCATTCTGTGCATTTCCTGCGACTGGTGCCGTTTTGCGATCGCGGTCCTAATGTATTCTGTTCGTACACAGAGCCCGTCCGCGGTGAAAGAAACAGCGGCCGCTCATTCTTGTGTCTCTTTAGTCGAAAGTAGAACTGGAACGTGGGGAAGTCCGAGAAAGAACGGCAGGCGCCGGGAGCCATGGTAACGGAGACAGTCGGGAGAGCCGCTATGCCTGCATATTCGGGGGAGGAGGGGAGGAGATTAGAGAGGTGCCATTCTTTGGAGCCCCGTTAAAAGTGCTGCCCGACGGAACCGCGCTCCTGGAACAGAAGGGGCAAAGTGACAAGCAGGACATTCTGTCGGAAACTTTGAATCGGCAAAGCGGAATATCGTGTGAATAACAAACAGCAAGCATGTCATGCATTACGAAACACATCCATGTCAGGAAAAACGACATACTGCTAAAATATCTTCAATTGTCTCCCCTCCCCCATTACAGCTTCACAGTCGTTGTACTTCAGGCTTTGCAGTCTTGTCTGCTGCTATGCATGTACATTGTACAATTCATATGTATTCTTCCAGATACTTCCATATCTCCATTTACATATTAAGTTTTTAGACATATTTACTGTTGTCCTACGTCTTGTTACCTTGCATCTGTCTGCAGGAAAAATGAAAGTAAGCCATCTCTTCGTATTCAGTAGCCTACTTGTACTAATACAAATGACAATAAACCTTTAGAATCCTTTGAATGAATCCCGCTCCCCATTCAATTCTCACCACAATCAAAATCCACTTCCCATTCCCAGCCTGGATTGTACCAGACTATTGGAACGGCAGATGTTTCTTATCAGGGTGCCGCAGGGTTAACTGTCTGGCCGTTGACCCTGGGTTGGAGCGTGTGTGATTACAGCGTGTGTTTTATATTTTATATATATGTGACAGCTAAAAGAGAAGCTACTTCTTAGAAAAGCCATCCGGCCATCCAGCCATTGTTCATAACCACTTATCCAGGGAGGTCTTTCACGAAACAGGATTCCTTGCTTAGCCAGATAACTTGTTGGATTGAAGGTAGTCTGTGCCAAATGGTCTTCATCATCGTTCACTTACATTTAGCTCAGACTACCTTAAATCTTACAAGCTGTCTGGCTAAGCAAGAAATCCTGCTTCGTGAAAACACACCCCCCCCCTCCCCCTCCCCGGGGCAAGGTCAAGGCAAGCCTGGAATCTACCTCAGGAAGCACAGGGACAACAGAGCGACAGTAAACAGCGAATACTTTGAAAGACACTGCACGTCATTACAAGATTCACTCACATCCTTCCTTTAGCTGGTGGATCTGTGTCATCCACGTTAGCTTCACTGACATGCATTTAGGTGGGGATAGAAGCTGCATGGTTCTGAGACACCTGTCAGCTGATCTACAGGTAAGCAGCGCAGAATTGCAGGGTCACTCTTGCGCACATAAACTCTCCCATACTTGGAACCTGAGAAGCTATTTTCAAAATGTTAATTGCTTGTCACAAAGACAAACAATGCCTTTTAAGCCGTTTGTGGAAGCAGGATTTGCTTTTTAGTATAAATCTTCAAATCCCTAAAACAGTAGAAAAGCTTCTTCAGAGAAAAAAAAAAAAAAACATCTTCAGCTCCTATAAAAATGTGCAGCCACACAGGATTATCTGTTTCAAATAATTCCATTTATTTTTAAGGAGGGATAAGCTTTGTAATCAACAGATTATTAAACCTGGGACTACCCAAATAAACTAGGGCCACTTGGTCCATCTATTATAAGCAAAGGAATTTCATACTTTGCCAAGCCAATGAAAACAATGTCCTTCTTTGCTGTAGTGCAGACATTGGATATCATGCATGACACTGTAGAGAGACAGCATTTCTCAGATGCGTCTCTTTCAGCCATAAACTGGCATCTTTCACTGGCCTCTTACCAGCTCTGCAATGGAGAGAAGATTCGAGTGTGATGGGGGTAGGAGGGACAATTTAATTAAAGTACAGCATCACAGCCAAGTGACAAGACACACTCACGACAGCTGGGGACGAGTCATACACTGTGTTTATAGATTTCTGCTTGGTTGACAAGTTTCAATCAGCTGAGCTGCGGAACACACCACGCCAATACCGCGGTACGGGTAGAAGGTACACCCTTATCTCCACCGTCATCTCACATGATGATTCATTTGCGAGATAGACATTTATGTCGTGATTCTCTTCTAACAGTGGATAAATATTGTGCCGCTGCAAGAATCACTAGGTGTTTGAAGAACAGACATTCAATGATTCATTCATTCTTTTTCAGTTTTCTTCGGCTGTATAAAGTTGCGGCCAGGAAAGCTGACCAAGTGTATGTGTCTGCAGGCTGGAGGAGTGTCTGTGTCACCTTTGGGCCCTTAAGCGAGGCCCCTGAACCCTGGGGGGGGGCACCAGATGCCGGGTGACCCTGCTGTTTGAGCCAAAGGTCTCCCCACCTGCACATCGCTTTGAACAAAGGTGCTGACTAAATAAATTAATGTCATGAATACAGGTCACTAACCCCCATCTGTGCTCAGTAACCTTGCAGAAGTACAATTTATGGAAGCCAGCCCAATGGCTGATAGTATACAGAGTTAGGGGCGACAGAGGGGCAGGGATACCCTGGAAGATTCGGGGGGTCCGGCCCATGAACATGCAAATTATACAGTACCAGTGAAAAGTTTGGACACACCTTGCCATAGAAAGGTTTATTTGTACCTTTCCTTACATGTTAGAATAATTATGAAGACATAAAAACTATAATAATAATTGATACTTTATTGATCCCCGTGGGAAAATTGTTTTTACGCCTCCCTCAACTTGCTCTTTGTAGAGTAAGCTGTCCGCGAAGGGCAGCCACCCGTAGCGGCGCCCAGGGAGCTGGGGGTTGAGGGTCTTGCTCAAGGACCCGCAGACGTGCTGAGGCTGGGCTTGAACCGGCAACCTTGTGATTACAGGCACACGGCTTAGCCCACTGAGCCACAC